TAGCGTAACGCTCTACCACGAGTGGCACTCTGGCCTTGTAAAAGGTGAACTTTATTATAAAAAATAAAACAAACAAAAAATAAATGAATTATGAATATTTGTTGTGCAGTGAAGAAATGGAACACAGGTAATTGGAATAAATAGTACTTACTTTTTACTAAATTATTTGTACAGAAACAGTGGGCTGTGTTTTGAAAAAAGTCATCGACACAGATCTGTTCGCTACCACAGCCGCTGATTGAACAAGGTTTGATTCTCAAGTCGCAAAAGGTGCCATAGTAATCACCCGTGCAATAGCAGAAAATATCGGTTGTTGAAGAAACACATGTACCATTGTTCAAGCATGGTGACGATTCACATAGGTCTGCAAAAGTAAATAATCCATAATAAAGTAAAAAAAAAATTACAGAGTAATTTTGTTTCCAGAGAAAGAGTTTCATATTTTTTTTAATCGAAATCACCCCATGTAAGGCAATAAAGCCACCAAGATAAGAGGGGAAGCGTCAGAGTTTATAAAAGGACTCTTAGCCGGTGAGCCCCATGGCATGGGAAAGACTAGAAGTGTTATTGACTCGGAAGTTCGCTGATGAGGGGACGGCGATAGAGGCCATGAGAGCCCTCCTGAAGATGAAGCAGCTTAGAGACGAAACCCCTGGAGAATTGGGGGCCCGAGCAGACAAGCTATCGTTGTTGGCTTTCCCAGAGGTAGTAAGAAACAATGCAGTGATGCAAGCCCAGTTAGCCGACTTATATGTAGAAGCGCTCAGTGACGAGCGTATTCGTCACGATGTTTTAAAAGAAAGACCGCTAAGGTTGTCGGCAGCAGTGGCACTGGCCAAAGAGAGCCAGGGAGTTTGGGAGAAGGTGAAAAGAGGGAGGAAGGTATCAGAGCTAAGTCGAGAGGTCGGAAGAAAAGGGGAAGGAGGGAGAGCCCCTGCTTGGAATCGAAGGGTCAAGCTAGAGGTGGAGGAGCCTGAGATAGGGGAGGAGGATCCTAAAAGAAAGGCTTGGTCGACAAGGCATGGGTTTTATAAGCCCACGCCGGGTCGATACGGGCTGGTCTGCTGGACATGTGGATATGAGGATCACAGAGCAGCGAAGTACCCGACGAAGTGGGGATTGCCCCCAGACTTTGAGCAAGATAAATGTACTAGGTGTGGGGAGAAGGGACACCTAGCAAAGTGGTGCGGATTAAGAAAAGGTGCCCCACCGATATTGTTGAAGAAGGCCGAGCCCAAAAGACAGAACCAGGGAAAAGCCAGCGGGCCAACCCGGAATTAAGAGGGAGGGTGGCCCAGTTAAAAAGAAGGAACCTAAAACGTTGGACATGTGGCCAGGAGAGCCAGTTAGGTAGAGGGTAGGTCCCCCAGGAATAAGAGAGAGGTTAGCCCAGTTAAAGAGAGGAAGCGTAAAATGTTGGGTGTGTGGTCAGGTTGATCACTTTGCGGTTAACTGTCCAACAAGAAGGTGCTGGTTTTGTAAGAGCCAGGGCACTCGACGCGGAATTATGCTCTTAGAAACGACCGCAAGAGGCTGGGAGAGGTCCAACCGGGACCGCCCAGGTGGAGAAAACGAAAAACTCCCCCATGTGAAAAGGATGACAGGAATTTGTTGCTACCGGTACCTATGGCTTGGATGACCCAAAGTTGGGAAAACCAGGAAAAGGAAAGCCAAGGTGTTCTCCTCGCTGACGCAAGAGAAAGAGCTATCTTGTAGGGCAGAAATAGGGGGTAGGGCAATGAAAGATCTGATAGACACAGGAGCGTCTGTTTCATTGCTGAGAGAAAAAGAATACAGACGAGTGAAACAGAAGAATGGGTTACAGGAAGCGGACATAGAAATCACACAGGCAGATGGAACCCCCCCCCGGAGATAAAAGGGATGGCGAGGCTCCCTGTGAGGATTGGAAAATTGAAAAGTACCCAGAACTTCTACGTAACCCCCAACCTGTGTACGGAAGCAATCTTGGGAGAAGATTGGCTTCGGAGCCAGAGGGCTCGGATAGAGTTCAACCCCATTGTGCTGGTAGTAAATGGCGAGAGAACGCCATTGGGAAGCCCACCTGAAGAAGTTATAACAATAGTGGTGGAAGAAGTTATAAAGCTACCCCCAGAACGACGGTGCCGGGCAAAGGTAGGCTGATGACAGGGAAGAGAATAGAAAAAGGAACCCTGCAATTGGTCTCTGTAGAAGGGAAGAGCCCAGAAGAGAATGAGATAACTCTGTGTGAGGCAGTAGTGGAAGCAGCTGAATTAGTGCCCATTATGATGGTGAATCAGGCCCACAAGACGATAAACGTCTGAATCGAGGGAAATTCGATGAGAAGCAAAGAAAACACGTAGAACAATCTAAAGGAATATCAGACGAAGAGATATTGGCACCTGATCAATTTAGGGCCGGAGTAGGAGGTCTGCTAAGAAATAATCGAGATGTGGTGGCCAAATCAGATAAGGAATTAGGCCAGACCCACACAGTAAAAATGATACCGACGATCACCCCCCTGTGAAATTGAAGCCCTATAGAACACCTGTTCATAAGAGACACTTAGTAGAAGAGGCGGTAGAAGAGATGTTGGAAGCTGGGATGATAGAAAGATCAATTTCCCCTTGGAGCTTTCCAATCGTGATAGAAGACAAGAAAGATGGCGGGCACCGTTTTTGCGTGGATTTTAGGAAACTGAATTCCATATCTAAGCATTTGGCGGTGCCATTGCCACTAATCGATGACATATTGGCATTATTAGGGAAGGCGAAGTACTTCTCCACGTTGGACTTAAGGTCCGGGTATTGGCAGGTAGCCCATGATGCGGCTGACAAAGAAAAGGCCACATTTGCGTTTCATCTGGAACTGTTTCAGTTCAGAGTTATGCCATTCGGTTTGGCTAAATCCCCGGGAATCTTCCAACAACTGATGTCAATAGTGTTAAGAGGATGCGAGAGCTTTGCCATGGCATATTTTGATGATATTCTCATATTTTTTGTAACGGTAGAACAACTCTTTTTCCATCTAAAACAAGTGTTGGGAAGACTAAAAAAGCACAGTTTAAAATTGAATTTATCGAAATGTCAGTTTCTGAAGGAGGAGACTAGATACTTGGGCTTTGTTATAAATGGAGACGGTATTAAGCCCGACATGGATATTGTGAAAGTCATAAGGGAAATGCCAGAACCTAAGACAGTGAGACAAGTAAGAGGTTTTATAGGTTCTATAGGTTACTACCGACGATCCATCCCGGCATTCTCGAGAATTGCCATACCACTAGTAGCCCTGACGAAGAAATATGCTAGGTTCAAGTGGACAGAAGACTGCCAACGGGCATTTGATATCTTAAAAGAATAGTTGACAGCCGTTCCACAGCTGACGTACCCAGACCTCAGCAAGCCCATGGTACTATACACTGATGCCAGTGAGCAGTGTGTAGGAGCAATTCTCACCCAGCCGTGTCCCGATAAAGAAGTACCAGTGCCAGGCATACCAGAGGAAGTACCGATATACTTTCTCTCTTATAAGCTCTCAGAGACACAACAAAGATGGCCAGTAATAGAAAGAGAAGCATATGCTATCATGTAGGCTCTCCAAAAACTTGACTACTACTTGAATGGTGCGGTCTTTACTATAAAGACAGACCACAAGCCTCTGCAGTATCTATTGCAGGCAGAATGGACAAATAATAATAAGATTAAACAGTGGGTGATAAAGTTAAGTGGCTACCACTGTAAAATAGAGTATTTGGCAGGGAAGGAAAACACGTGTGCAGATTTACTCTCAAGAATACCGAAACAACTGGAAGAAAGATCTGTAAAAGTAGAGCAGGGAGTAGATGATAAAGCCTATAGAATCGGAGTAATTAACTTCAATAAGTTAAAAGATCGCCCCCTGTTAGAATCGGAGGAGGAAGTGGACGCACAGATAATAACCGATCCCTACTGGACAGAAGGAATTGAGAAGGAGCAGGCAGACAGTGAAATAGCTGTTCTTAGAGAAAAAGTGGAAGTAGGAGAAACCACCAAATATGCCATAATAGAAGAAAGGCTGTATTATCTCTCAGGTAGGGACGAAGAAGTCAAAACCTAAGTTGTATGCGACCAAATGTTTAAGACTAGAGATATTGGAACAGTGCCACGAGAGGTTAGGGTACATGGGAATTGATAGAACGTATGACCTAATAGAGAGAAAGTACTATTAGCCCAAATTGTACGGAGAGGTCACTAATTATGTTCGCAGCTGTGTAGTGTGCCAGTCGCAGAGCAGAAGGCAGGAAATGGCACCATTGGAGGGGATGGATGTGCCGAGCTTCCCCTTCGAGAAAGTGAGTATGGATGTATCAGGACCATATGGAGAGACTGCACGAGGAAACAACTATATAGTGAGTGTTGTTGATTGGCTAACAAATTGGCCTGGGGCATTTGCAGTACCAGACAAAAAGGCTAAAACTGTAGCCGATTTGATAATAAGTGAAATCTTCCCTAGGTATGGCGCCCCTGTGCAACTTGTCACTGATAATGGCTCAGAGAATATAAAGAGAATAATAAGAGAAGTGCTGACAGGTTTGAATATAGAGCACATAAAAACATCCCCTTATCACCCCCAAGGGAACGCTAAAGTGGAAATATGTCATAGAACCTTGGGAGATGTGTTAGCCAAGCTGGCTAGAGAGAATACCGGAAATTGGGATCTGTATTTGACGCAAGTTCTGGCAAGGTCGGGCAAGGGGGGGGGCGTGCCAATGATCTTAAGAAGGCTGAAACAGCTAACCTAGAAATGAATGAGCCGAGGCCTAAGAAGACAAGAACAGGGAAGGTAACTCTAGTTGAACCGGAGGAAATGGAGACGGAAGGATTCCGAGGAAAATGAAGAGATAGATCGAGTTAGCCATCTAGACGAAGCGATCCGAGTGACGAAGTTGGAACCTTCGGCGGAGACCAGCGACGTTCAGTCGTCGCCTGAATCGGTGCAGAGGAGACCCTTTGATGTCACTGTCTCGCCCCCATGTCTAAAGAAAAGGAAGAAAAAAGCGAGGAAATCGAGTCAAGCAGTCAAGGGTTCTAAAGAGAGGTACCCTAAGCAAAACGAAGAGCTCAGCGAGTGGGAAGAAGAGGATCAGGTACCCCTTTCCCAGCTCAGAGAAAGACTAAGAAACAGGGGAGATCTAGACGTTGAACCAAGAAGTAACGAAGAAGTTCAAAGCACAGACTAGAAGCGTTCGGTGTCGACAGATAACGACACTGGCTCATCCAAAAACCTACTGGCTGATTGTGGTGGATGTGGATGGAGGGGATGGAGTCGCGGGTTGCACCTCACGAAGGACGGAAGAAGATTATTGTCATTGCTAACTGGCCAGAAGTAGTTTCATGAAGTTACAGTCTCTAGAGGAGGATCCCCCTCGCGCCTGCCCGGACCATTCGATCTGCTATGAGTTAGTTAGTGGAGGGAAAAGCTGAAGGGTTACAAACTTAGAAAGAAAAAAATATGGAATAGTTGAGTGAAGAATTGAATAAGACAGAAGGGTAGAAGAAAAAGAAAAAAAATGAAGAGAAAGATTCAATTATAGAATTGATTGGCAGAAGCTTAGTCAATTGTACAGAGTTGTGGGGGCCAATAGTGAGAGGATTCCCCAATGTTACCTTGAATAAAATTCCAGTACTAATGAAGCCGATAGAAAAGATCGATATGGATCAATTGAAGAAAAAGTTAAGTGCGCTGGGAGGATAATGAGCAGATCGCGATAAGTTGGTCAGCAATGATGGGTACATTCATAATTATCGCCATAGGGGGTATGGCAGTATGGAAAATTAGAAGTAGGAGAGAATTAATTCATGGTAATCAAATGAGCATGAAGCAACTTGAGAGGGAGATGCCGAGCAGTGTTCTTAACCCATACAGAATCAACGAGGAAATTACAGAAAAGCCGACGGAAGAAGCTAACGTGAAAACCTCCTACAGCAGAGAGAAGGACATTGGCCAAGAAAAACAAGCCATAATAACCACACACATGCACCCACAGGTACACGCACACTTTAAATTGCATGAGAAACAGAAGAAAATGAAAAGAACATTACATTGCATGTAGAAGAGAAGATGAAAAGAACATTACATTTGCATGTAGAACAGCAGCAGAAGAAAAGAATACTACATTTGCATGTAGAACAGAAGAAAATGAAAAGGACATTACATGGCATGTAGAACAGAAGAAGACGAAAAGAACATTACATTGCATGTAAAACAGAAGAAAAAAAGAAAAGAATAGAATTGTATGGGACAGATGCATGATGCATGCTAAATACTGTATTTGGATTTAGGTGTCATTTACAAGTAAATGACAAAATAGGTTAGGGAGGATTGTGACACTATTTAGCGATGGTAATTGGCTAACAAATTAAGCATGGAAACTAAAAACGAGAAAGAGCTATAACGAAAGACATACCGAGCGACATTATTTTTTTAACAAAAGAAAAATGGGTAAAGTTTTTTGTTTTCATTTACGAAGAAAGATATTTTTCCCGCAGAAGACAGAAAATTCGTAAGAGAAGCATGTTTAAGATTTTGTCGGAGTTGATTAATGTCATGATAAGAGAGTGAAGTGCCAAGGGAAACATAATACGGGTAAAGAATAACAATCTGACCACACGCGTTGCAATAATAAAAAAAGCCAGCCGTATGATCATAGTTCTGGATATGGTCGATGTCATTGCTTGTTCGGGCTGTCAGCTACAGACTTTCTGTCACCGAGAACGAGCATCTGGAAATACGATTAAATTAAGACACAAGAAAGAAAAATGGATTTAGTCTTCAAATGAAAACGACCACCCAGTTAAAAATTGACTGGCGGTAGTTAATGAGTCGGCGAAAATTCCGCTAATGAATTCCAGGTGATCCCAGGATAAGATAAAAATTTAATGACCACAATGTGCGCTACATAAGAAATCTGGCCGATAAAAAAGAAAGAAAAGGCAATAATTGTAAACTGATGCCAGTCTAGCCACCCCCACACTGCCAAGAGATCATTGGCTAAAGTGGTAGCATTGGTGATAGGCGGAGGTGAATGAATGAGAAAGAAGAGAAACTTGTTGACGCCCACTGAAGGGATTGGTATGAGATGCCAGTATGAGAAAGGAAGAGTTTAGGAGGATAACTCTCCTCCGACCTCTCCTCACAGAAGTGGGAGAACCCACTAAAACAGAAAGTAATTGACTTCCAAAAATGGAAAGTGATAAATTTTCCTGTCCGAAGACAAAGAGAATCCTTATTGGGGATTTGGAATTATCGAAGAAACCAAACCACGACAGGCCCCAACCCGGTTTTAGACGATGTTCATATAAACGAACGTCCCCGGGCGTCCAGAGAGTAAGAGTTGAGTTGGAGATCGGAGACAGATCGACAGAGAGCTGTTGGACTCGGAGACCAGCCTCGCCGGAGCTGACCGAAAGATTTCCACGCCCTCCGACTTATACTTCTAACCAAAAGCAAGTTTTAATGAATATCGACTGAAGATACCAAAAAAGCAGTTTATTGAAAAACAACTTAAGATACTATAACTCGCTTAAGAAACGCCAAAAAGTGTCACGAATCCATAGAACGGACTGGGAGAAAGACGCACTCCTGTATTCAGCAGACAGATATAAAGATACTTGTTATGTCTCAACACATCTGAGCCTTGTAAATTTGTTTCCTTATTTTTCTTTTACGTACACTTGTGCGTTATCAACTTTACCCCGGATTCAGCTTGCACTACGGCCCGACGCCTGATTGATTTCGTCTACCTACGATCAAATCACAGCGTGGGTAGGTTAGACTAGAGATCAAAGCAGTTACTTCGGTAACCAGACGTTGGAGGCGAGCTGAGGACGACAAAGCTGATATCGAATCTAACCAGACATTGACCGCGACCAAGACAACCAGAGGGGTTAGTGTCACAAATGATTCCGTGGTAAACCAAGTTTTTACCCAAACTAGTGTTAGGTCGTCACAAATAGTGCTGCAACCAGCGCAGGGTCAGAGTGTCACACTTAGATATGACACAAGGCCAAATATATGGAGCGACAGGTGAGAGTTGAACTTACTCAATCGTAATTGGCGTAGCGAGACAAGGTTGCTAACTATGACATAACGTAGACCTGCCAAAAACGGTTGTCGAAGCTTAGCTTAGATATGACACAAGGCCAAGTACATGGAACTAGAATTGAACTAACTACTGAATCGTAATTGACTTAGCGAGACAAGCTTGCCAAATTCGAAGCGCCATAAGCGATTTTTTAAAGTTAGCTTTGATGTGACACAAAGCCAACTATATGGAGCGACGAATGAGAATCGAAATACTTAATCTTAATTGACTTTGCGAGACAAGCTGGATAACTATGACACAACGTCAAAACCAAATTTCTAAGCTTAGCTTAGATATGACACTTGGATACATATATGGAGCGACTAGTGGAAATTCAACTAACTACTCAATCATAATTGATTTAGCGAGACAAGCTTGCTAAGTAAGACACAACGTCGAAGTGCCAAAAACGATTTTCTAAACTTAGCTTTGATGTGACACGAGGCCAAATGGATGGAGCGACGAATGAGAATCGAAGTAACTACTTAATTTTAATTGACTTAGCAAGACAAGCTTGCTAACTATGACACAACGTCGAAGTGCCAAAAACGAGTTTTATAAGCTTAGCCTACATATGACACAAGACCAAATACGTTGAGTGACGGGTGAGAACTGAACTAGCTACTGAATCGTAATTGACTTAGCGAGACAAGCTTGCTAACTATGACACAATCGAAGTGTCAAAAACGATTTTCTAATCGTAGCTTAGATATGACACAAAGCCAAATTCATGGAGAGACGAGTCACAATTGAACTAACTACTCAATCGTAATAGACTTAGCGAGACAAGCTTGCTATGACATAAAGTCGAAGTGCCAAAAACGAATTTCGAAGCTTAGATTAGATATGACACAAGGCCAAATATATGGTGCGACGAGTGACAATCGGACTCACTTCTCAGTCGTAATTGATCTAGCCTGGCAAGCTTGCTCACTATGATACAATGTTGAAGTGCCAAAAAAGATTTTCTAAGCTTAGCTTACATGTGACACAAGGCCGAATATATAGAGGAGCGTGTGATCATCAAAGTCACTACTCAGTCTTAATTGACGTTGTGTCATTGCTAGCAAGCCAGTCTATGAAAGGTAACTTATGAAAAGCTAACTATGAAAATTTCTCGGACATTCAGGCCGGTAAATGCTACAAATTCTGTATTATAAAACAGAGCATTTACTTTAAAGATTTGTATCTATGAAAAGAATGTAGAAACATAAAAAATGTCTTAAAATAATTGTCAAACTTTGTCCATTTCATAATATATATGTATATATATATATATATGTGTGTGTGTGTGTGTGGTTGTGTCTGTGTCTCTGTGTGTGTTTGCTTACCAATATATATTTCGCATAATTCTCCTTTGTAACTATCTGGGCAGTCGCAATAGTGACGTATATTTCCCAAATTCCTACACACTCCACCGTTTTCGCACACAATGTTGCTACAGGGATCTCTTAGATTGTCACAGCTGAAAAGAAAAAGGGAAAAATCACTATAAAAAAGAAAGCTAACTGCATAAAACCTGATACTTTAAACACGATACGCGTACATATTTTATATCTTCATTCAACACATTGGTCCATGTAAACGCACACAATCAATTGCAAAATTGTTTTGTGCTAGTACTACACGGCTAAGAGATGAATGATACGCATGACCATATTTTAGAAACGCTCATAAATAATCATCAGGTTGACCGAAAATTCTAGGCAAGTTATGGGGGATGCTAAGTGACATAATTTGATATCTAATAAACGAATATGAGTAAAAGACGTTGTATTTTTTATTCAAAATAATATTTAAATTATCTTAGTTTAAATATCAGTTTAGTTTGGCATTAATTCATTTATTTTATATAACATGAATTTATAAATTTAACAGTCATTTTAGCCACACTGATGAGTTGTGATACAACGAAACAGTGTCTGATGACTATATATATATATATATATATATATATAGTGAACATTGAAGTCAACGCTTAGAGGTGACATGCTGTTTCATGCTAGACGCAATCGTCAGTCCATGATGACCTGATGATTGCGTCTAGCATGAAACCGCGTGTCGCCTCTAAGTGTTGACTTCAATGTTCACTTTTATATTTACACACGCTCTATCCCTGATATTGTGCACTTTATCCCAAAAATATAGCACACCTTAAGAGTATATATATATATAAATCTAATAGTGAACATAGAAATCAACACTTAGAGGCGACAGTCTATTTCATGCTATATGCAATCGTCAGGTCTGATGATTGCATATAGCATGAAACAGACTGTCGCCTCAAAGTGTTGACTTCGATGTTCACTTTTATATTTACACACGCTCTATCTCTGATATTGAGCACATTATCCCATAAATACAGCGCATTATGAAACTATATTTCTTTATATATATATATATATATATATATATATATATATATGTGTGTGTGTGTGTGTGTGCATGTGTGTGTGTGTGTGTGTGTGTGTGTGTGTGTGTGTATTCTAATCATTTCACCGCAGTCAAGACGAGAAAGCAATGGTGAGAAAGAGACTAAGATCGAATTTCCATATATAAATTTATATTCTTCATCGTCCTTTATATAATTTATTTTTAAACATTAATAAAAAAAATATATATAGTACGGACGTTATGAACTGACTATAGGTCTGTCAGATACAGATCATTTTCAAGCGTAAATGTTACACATGGTCGAATGAATGCTGAGCACTGAATTAGGCCTAGCTTTAATCATGAACACATGATAAAGTATAATCAGGTTGCCTAACTGTTTGGAACTTTATTAATCGGAAGAAGGTTGAAATGGATACTAACAAAGACTGTAAATTTCTGGGACACACAAAAGAGGACAGCGCTTGGAGAATGATACTTAGAAAACCTTGAAGGCAATGAGTGTAGGTCGAAACAGTAATCTACCAAGAGAGTTTTTGGTAAGGGGTGGGGTAAAACGAAAGAGAGGTATTGTGATGAAACCAATATTACTTACAGGTACGAAGGATCGGAAGTAGTGAAGAGACAGATCGTCTACGTCATGAATGCAAATACTGCATACAAAACTAAAGCTACGTTTAACGTCATTCAAATAGATTCAGCTGAATAAAGGCATGATTCCACTTCTCCCTGCGCTCTGTTTACTCACCAGTTAACATGTGAGAAAACGTTTCTTTACGAAAATGCCCTGATTTTTTTTTTTGCAGTCCTGAAAAAGCCTCTTAAAAGCATGACATAATCCCAGTTACAGATGAGCTTCATCCTGCGTATACAGACAGCCATCCCAAGCAGAATATATTGACAGCTTTCCAAAATGATTTATAGGAAATTTATATGAATTCTATGACAAAGTATGTGGGTTGTTTGTTTGTTTGTTTGTTTGTGTTTTACGACATATCGACCTCCTCAGTCATTTAATGTCAAATCAGGTTATTATTGGAATATTATTTTCCAATATAATAGTCCCTTCCATTTCCACAAACGGAGAGGTTTGCCATGCTGAAAAAGGTTTTTAGAAATGAAATGGTTTGTAGAAAAATCTGGTTCTGTCAAAAAAAAAATTTTTAGTAGAAATTGTATTGTAGGAAGTTTCTTCCTTTTTTGAGAAATGGTATGCAGAAAGAATCAGATTTTGTTGAAAACATTCCTTGCAGCAAAAGTTTGCAGAAAACTCCCAACTTTTTATGTTTTTAGATTTTTTGGTACAAATTGACTGATTTCAGGAACGATATTATGTTATCCATGTCAGTTTTTTGGAACAGTTCCTTCATGTTACTTGCACTATAAAGCGTTTCTCTTATATGGGCTAGGTCAGTACATTCAATGAGAATGTGTTTCACTGTGTATGCGGTCAGTATGTGGGTTGGTAGTAGCGGCTAAACATCAAGAAAGTATAAAAATAGCACAAATACATTTTCATAGTAAAAAGTTACTAACCATACATTTTGGAAAGACAAATTACCAGCATCACATAAAAATATAACCAGCAATACAAGCTCGCAAGAAAATTTAAAGTTCGGCATTAAATGGCCGAAAAGGAGATGACATGCTGTTAAAAAAACAAAAAAAAAAAATACATTTTCTTTAATGTCTCTTCTCAAAGGAATCGTGAGTTAGAATTTAGAAAAAGTAACGGGCTATTAACTTTAAAGATCATATCTTACCTTGTGCCAATGTATTTGTCCCATGATGGGCAAACACATTCATAGCCGCTAGGACCACTCTTGCATATAGCGTGGTTTTGGCAGATAGTGGATTGTTGACAAAAATCATTTCCTATTTCACAATTTCTGCCTTGATATGCTGTAAGTGAGTAAAAAACATTAATTGGTTGATTGTAAGTATCGAAACTGCTATGAGCATTAAAATAATATAAAAAAACAACTTGCGGTTCTGCAAAAGAAGGCGTAATTATACTAAGAAATGATGCCTTCTAAAACCTAAGCAGTGTACTAAGAAAGAAGAATAGTTCATTAAAATAGTTCTTAACCGTCTCCGTAGTCTATTCTCCTGTATGGAAATTAATGCTGAACGTTTTCTTCGCCGATGACTCGAGTTAACAGAAATGTGGTTCCACAGAAAATACGGACAGAAAATGTCTTGGTAAATACAGATAAATAGAGATAGTTGTGAGACAAGAACGTGTCCTCTGACCGGACTTATTCAATCTTTAGAGTGAAGCAATGCTGAAGAAAGTAATAACACTCGCGGGGTTCATTATTGGAAGCCATAATCAGCGCAAAATATGCAAGTGGCACATTATTGCTGGCAGATACAGAAAAGAAACAAATAGGAAACTAACTACTGTAAGTAGTAAAGAAAAAGAAGAAGAAGAAGAAGAGGAAGAAGAAGAAGAAGAAAAAGAAGAAGAAGAAGAAGAGGAAGAAGAAGAAGAAGAAAAAGAAGAAACAGAAAATCTGGCAGTCAGTAAAAGGAACAGGTTGAGAATTGGTTCCAAGAAAATCAAGCAAGTACAAAAATTTAATTATTTTAAGTATTTCGTGGCGCAAGTGTCACTAGCACGCAAGGGGTTACAGAAAGTGAAAATGAGAAAAAAAGGACTGAGTATAGAGAGTATTGAAGAAAGGATAAAAGATGAACGGGTTCGAGTCAGCAGAAGATGGCAGTTGAAGTTATGCTAAAATTTTTGAAGATTGTAGTTATTAGGGAAGCAAGTAAGAGGAAGGGAGTTCCACAGTCGGGATATGCAAAAAAAAAAAAAAAAAAAAAAAAAAAAGAAACACTTGAAGTAAAAGTTGCGGTTACCTTTTAACTATTTCTACAGTAAAAATGTAGGATATCAATCTAGTAGCACGCTTAAATTCACCAGGAAAAAAACAAACTAATTAGAGCAGTTGCCAAGAAAATATTTGTAGAAAAGACAGAGGGAAGCCACATCACGTCTGTGAGAAAGTGACTGAAGTCAGGTCAGGATCGATCACATTTCAGATCCTTCTTTAGACTTTTTTGAGAACCTCGAGATGAATACCAGGGGCACTAGACCAGATATGGCAACAGTATTCAATGCATAGACGAATATGTAGATATGTAGATGTGTAAGACGGACTATGACGAGAAAAACTAAACAAAAAAAAAATCTGGCACGACAAAGAGAACTAACATTTATTGCAGTAGATGCAGCTATTGAATCAATGTAGCTATTCCATCTCAAGTCAGGCGAAAACGTGACATCTAAGAAGTGTTGTAAACAGAAGACGGAAAATGTTAAAGGTCTATTCGCTAATCTGCTCAACGGCTTTGGCTTGCTTAGCTGTAAATACGATCTATTTTCAGTTTTCGGAATGGGACGACTGAACGCAAACTTTCGGTGTTTTGGCAAGGCCGTTTGGGCATCAGACTTTCGGTAACAGCGAGTTGAAATTTTGGCCTGGGTAGCAAAACGTCGGTGTCAATTCGCCCTCAGCTTTTCGTGATTTGTCAACGATGCAGACGAATCCATTATCCGCAAATTTGTCATCATATTGATAAAACGATAGAACTTACTAGTTAAAACATTATAAAAGATGACAAAACGAAACTATTGTGGCCGTTCATTCGCAGCTTGCTTAACTGATGTTAAGGACTAACTCATAAACCCAGACGTCGTTTGTTGGCCGGAACAGAGGCTCCATCTACAGTCAACGACGAAATTATTCGTACACACATCAGTTTTGAATATTTGCATCCATTTCTCAGAATCTAATGCCCGTATGATGCCAGATTTTTTTATATGATAATAAGCACAAAAAGGAATATAAAACTCAATTTTCAGAACAATAGGTTAAATAAAAATAAATTTGACAGGTGAATTATGCAAAATAGGAAAAGACAAAATTATTCGCACAGTTGAAAATATCGTTTTAAATTAATTGATTCGTGTAAGTATAAGTAATTTACATACTTATTTTAACGCGGAATTCAGTAGAATATTTGTGATAATTCCAGCAAAGAAGATCGCGTGGTGCATAGAGTGTCACCATTGTTATTCTTACGTTAACAAAATGATGGGGAAAACAAAGGGGCTTAGAGTTGACTTGAGACAAGCATTATTAACTTCCACAAGTCGGAAAATAGTTACAGTACTACTTCAAACCGCATTAGATTCTGAGAAATAGATAAAAAAATATTCAAAATTGATGGGTGTACGAATAATTTTTTCGTAGACTGTATAACCTGAGCAAACAGCTCAACGAGGAGATAGATGCATTATTTACATTATTCGGACTATTGTCCTGATTTTTGTCACCGTATTTATTATAACTAGAACAGTCTATCCCAGTGAGCGAAATAAAGGGTTCAGATGGACATTCCAACCACATGAAGAAGGCCGGAGGGTACAACGGCCGAAACGTTGTAATAAATATGGCGACAAAGATGAAGACAATAGTCCGAATAATGTAAATAATGTAAATAAAACCTCATCTCACAAATATAGACAGATACTGAAGAAGGCCGGGGAATACAACGGCCGAAACGTTGTAATAAATATGGCGACAAAGATGAGGACAATAGTCCAAATAATGTACATAATACCTCATCTCAGAAATATAGACAGATACTGAGGAGATAGCTAGTTTTCTTTTTTCTATATATGTGTATCTGTGGGTGCCAAGATATGTTTGGTGTCCAAACGGCCACGAGAAAATATCGATCGCGCAAAAACGTACCAAACCGGTCAACCTTACCATCTTGATCTTTTATTTCCAGTTCGGTGCATTTTTATATTATTTATATACTCTTTTAACGTTGCATATATGATTCGTAATCATATATATAATAAAATGGGATTAGTTTAATTCTCAAAAGCCTCTGCAATTTTTGTCTTTCCAACGACGAATATTACATCAGGTCCGAACGAGACAGATTGGTTTTCGATCAAGAAATACATCCCTTCGTTTGACCCAATCACGTTTGTATTATTTATAACTCCATCAACATTCTTCAACACAACGTCGGCCCATAAATAGTTAACGGATAGAATACCTTGAAAGACCCACAGTGCAACGCATATTGTTGCGATCCACCATCATACTCTTTGTATTCGATTTGGGAGAGACAAGATATTTCTTTGGTGACAAAGAAAACAGTACTGAGCTGCTACGCGACATCTGTCCACCTTTACGGCAGCGAATGTTGGAAGAGACTCAAGGTTCTACAGAAGGATACTAGGGATATCATGGAGTGAGCGTGTGAGCAACGATGAGGTTTTAGAGACGATGAAAACAAGAAGGAAGCTTATACTTAACATAAGGAAGAGGCAGATGAAATTTCTGGAACACGTAATGAGAAAGGAAGGTCTGGCGAATCTAATACTAACAGGTCGAATAGACGGGAAAAGAGGCAAGGTAAAGCAACGAATGAAATACCTGGCGGGCTTGAGCAAGTGGATAGCGGGACGTAGTCTGGAGGAGTTGGCAAAGGCACGAAACTTATTGAGAGCTACAAGGGATAGGGGACACGGCACATAAAAAGAAAAGAAAGAGATGTGAGTTCCACCCAAGCAGCTTTTTGCCACAAACAGTCACTTTGTGGAATCGACTCCCAAGAGGATACAATCTCGATTACTATAAACTTAACCTTCTCATAAGGTATATTCGGAACTCGGAAAGCTCTCTTCATGCAGTTAGATAGATGAAAAGATCGGAGAAAAGATGAGGAAATTGATAAATTTTCTCTTCCAGTACTTACGTGAGCCACAGTTACATGTATAGTTGAATGAGCCTAGGGTAGGTATACACGGCTGTCCATTGAAACAAGGCTGTGATTCACAAGGATTAATAGGTGTCTCGCAGTGTAATCCTAAGTATTCTAAAATGAGAAAAAAAGTACAAAAAGACACAAAGATGTTCGCATACATATACATATGCACATAGGATTTTCTCTCTCTCACTCACACAGACATTAGTTAAATCTGTAAATTATTGGTTCTTTATAATGATTATAATAATAGGACACCTTAAGGTGGTGTAATGGTTAGTAAGCTTGTCTTGCTAGAACAACTACGACTGAGTAGTAAGTTCGATCCTCACTGGGTGCCCTATACTTTCGGTCTTGTGCCACATCTAAGCTGCGCTTGGAAAATCACTATAATGATGATAATGATGCAAAACGTCGAGAAATAACTCAGACGTTTGTTACAAATTGGATGAGGATATTAATAATAATATGAAAGAGATATACGGGTATTTCGTCCGAAGCTAGTTTAATAATAATAATAATAATATCTGTTTATATCTGAGAGATGAGATATTATGATTATTTGCATTATTTACATTATTTGGACTGTTAACCTTATCTTCATTGTCATATCCACAACGTTTCGGCCTCTATATCTCTGAGATGAGGTATTATGTTTAATTGGATTGTTTACATTATTTGGACTGTTATCCTCATCTTCATTGCCATATTCACAGCGTTTCGGAATCTATATCTCTGAGGTAAGTTTTTATGATTACTTGCATTATTTATATTATTCGAACTGTTATCCTAATCTTCATTGCTATATTTACGACGTTTTGGCCTCTATATCTCTGAGATATTATGATTACTTGTATTATTTCCATTATTCGGACTGTTATCCTCATCTCCATTGCCATATTCACAACATTTCGGCCGTTGTATGCTTCAGCTCTCTTCAGGTGATTGTAATTTTTAACCGGACCCTTTATTTCGTCCACCGGGTTAGATTGTTCATGTTCCACGTGCCATGCCTCTTCCGAATGTCTCAAGGACATAAAGCCCCTTGGATAAAGACGTTGGTTAGATCCAGTGACAAGACCCAAAGAGTCACAGCAGTGGTGAACCAAAACTTGGAGTGTTGAATTAAAGGGAAATAACTGAGAAATCCGGAAGATGCAAGTAATTATAATGATAATAATAGTTATAATAATAATGACATGAAAATACATACGTGTAACAACAAAATTGTCGAAATCGTGTAACATCATAGGATAATTGCCCATCCCACAAAATGTTAAATATCTAAAAAACACTAAACTAACTGAGTTTCTTTTTTCTAGGTTTTCGGGTTTTCTCGACACCATTTGTTGTAAGAAATCGCTGTAAAACCCTTTGAGTTATTCAGCTAGAAAGAAAAAAGGTTAAAATTGTTTTGTGTCATCCCCACTTTATCTTGCCAACTGAGCAATGGCGAGGGGAAAAAGATCATTCAGGCCTTCAGTAATGGTACCAACAATCATACTCTGACTTCCATTTTCAAATTCCATTCAAGAAACATTAAAAGAACAGTGAATAAGTTTTAAAAAGGCGAACAGTAGAGAGGAAAGGATCAGAAGGTCACAACAGCAAGAGAAATCATCATTTCAACTTAGAGCTAAATACATTCTTATTGCTCAAAGTTGAGCTCAGTGTTGTTATAAAAACATCAGGGAATTCCAGTAATATATCTTTAATCATTTCTAAGATACAAGGGTTCAAAGCTTAATCTAACAATTGTGCAATTTTGCTGTTACACCCGGTACATAATATTGTTTGCACATATATATAAACTATAATGGAATAATCATGTTTTTTTTCAGTTTATTGTCTCAGTAAGCATAATTACGTAAAATGGTTTCTCTAGTGAACAATCAGACAATTAACAGATAGAAATTCTGTTCACTTCGACATGCGTTAATTTTACGTATATCAATAAGTAGCATACTTGACCTCTTTGAATGTAACTGAGACATTGATACAAATTATTAACCCTTCCGCTCCTTTTTTTAAATAATTGCTCTAGCCGTTACCATAGTAATTTTAATTTTAATAATCAATATGCTTATAAAACGCGTTAATTTCAGGAATAAGTTATTCAAAAAAAAAAAAAAAAAAAAAAATTCGCATGAAGATGGAACAGAGCTTGGTACTTTAATTCAACTTAATTCAAATAATTATATTGAAGTTTTCGGCTCTTGTTTTGAGAACTCTTATGTAGCGATGGAATCATATTTTTAAATAAATAATTATGTTTATGCTCTACCTTTGTATCGAGCACTATTTTTAAAAAATAATGACAAAAATACTAAAGAACTTTGGATTATTTACCTAACGAGTTCTTTCCTATTTTCTATATATTTTTACACACACACACACACACATATATATATATATATACTCTTAAGGTGTGCTATATTTATGGGATAAAGTGCTCAATATCAGAGATAGAGCGTGTGTAAATATAAAAGTGAACATTTAGAGGCAACTGGCTGTTTCATGCTAGACGGAATCGTCAGGCCACATGTTTTTTTCGGCTATTTATATATACGGGTCAGTGGTGCATTGTGGGTAGTCTGTTTTGGCCGTTATTATGCCGGAAGTCGTTTATTTGTTTATTTATTTATTTGAGTTAAATTATTTTGCTTTTATTTATTTATTTTTATTTTTTATTTTTTTTTTATTTTTCCTTCTTATCTTATTTATTTATTTTTATTTTAATCGGTGTTTTATTAACGTAGTAAAAAATTGTTTGTATCGCCTATTTAATAGTTTTGTTTTGGTTTGGGAAGATAATTAAAGCTATTTATTCTATTTTGAGGTTGATTTCTGTAGTTTATTCTAACTATTATTTTGCCGGGAGCAGTTTTTAATTTGTTTATTACTTCATTTATTTATTTGGATTTATTATCTTTACTTGTTTTTTCTAACGGTTAATTTATCGGAATCGGTTTGTTAGTTTCATTCTTTCTTTATTTATTTGGATTAATTTAGATTAGTTTATTTTACTTTATTATTATTTATTTATTATACTGTATATTTTTATTTACTCTTTTCGTTTTCGATTCTTAAGCAACGTAATATTTTTTATCGTTATATAACAGTCATAGCTATGTTTTTCATCTGATTTTTGGTTTGATTTTTATAGTCTAACTAATAATTTGGTCATAATGGTTTGTTTATTTGTTTATTATTTACTTTATTTATTTGGGTTCATTGATTTTGTTTTTTATTTTTTATTTATTTATTCTATTTCATCTATTCTAACGGGTGTGATTTCGTAATTTGTTTGGGTTAATTTATTTTACTTATTTTATTGTCATTTTGTTTATTTATTTTGTTTTATTTACTTTTTTTTCAGCTTTCGATTTTTAAGTAACGTAGTAAAAATTTGTTTTCATGTCTGCATTTTGAGATGAGCTCGGATCCTTTATTTGATAATTTATTTTGGTCTGGGAAGTTAATGATAGCTATTTTTTGCATTGGTTGTTGTAGGCTGATGATTTTTTCCCTAATATTTTCCAAGATATTTTTTATATATGTAAAAAGATCCAGAAAGATGAAGTGATAGAATGTAGAGCATGAAACCTGCAACAGTACCAGTGGTAATAGGGAAACTCGTTCTTGTCAAGAAAGGGATGGATAGATTCACAAGGAAAATACCTGGCAACATCAAAAAACAAAAAGTTCAAAGATCGTGTTCTTTTGCCCTGTTCACATATCAAGGATGATTCTGTTGATCAAATAAATCAATCACACCTTAATGGTAGCCTCAAATCCAAAAGATGCACTTGGATCAACGAGCGAAAACAACATAACAAAAAAATTCTTAAAAATAATAATAATAATAATAATAATAATAATAATCTGTTAACAGATAAACCACCGGGAAACATCACAGAAGTTAACAACGTCATATACGCAACAGCTTTAGCAGCGACTCGGAAGCTTGGGGTCAAAACAATAAATAAAATTAACAGACACAGAGCACCAGATTGGAAAACCAAACTGATACGAGAAATAAAACAAATCAGATGTGAGCTTTCTATATTAGATGAGCTCACCAGAAACCGTAATATTTCCACACGTAAATGCAAAAAGATCAATCGGAAATATAGCATTAAATCCCTAATTGATATTCCATCAATCAAGGAAATGTTGAAACAGAAACTTCAGCTAAAGGCGCAGAGAACAAGACGATACGAAAAACGTTGTAGGTTCTATCGCCAAAATAAAATATTCCGAACAGATCTTAAGAAATTTTACAGGGAAATTGGAAAAACACCTATACATGTCGAAAGGCCACCATCGATTGATAATGTACAGACATTTTGGAAAAATATTTGGAGCAGCCCAAAGGAATATAACCCAAATACAGAATGGATACGGCGTGAAGAAAAGCGACTGCTGGATACAGCTCTGCAAGAATGGGAAAATATATCCACAGATGATTTTAGGCAAGCTCTAACGAAATCCCAAAAATGGAAATCCCCAGGAAATGATAAGTTGCCCAATTTCTGGCTGTAGCATCTCTCATCTACCCATGGAATTCTTGCAAAAACATTATCAACGCATGTAAATAATCCTAATAAAATCCCGGAATGGATTACTGAAGGTATTACACACCTCATACCAAAAACAACAGAAACAGACGACCCCAAAAATTCTCGACCGATAACATGTCTCTCCACAACGTATAAGTTGATCACGTCTGTACTGACGAACCGTACTTATTCCTTTCTCGAAACAAACAGCATTCTTCCGCTGGAACAGAAGGGATGCAGAAGAGGTTCATATGACTGCAAAGATCAACTTCTGATAAATAAAATGATCCTGGAAAATTGCAGAAGACGGCGCAGAAATCTTAGTGCAGCGTGGATTGATTATCGTAAAGCCTTTGGTAGTGTTCCACATTCTTGGATCCTTAAGACTTTGGAAATGTACAAAGTCTCCCCTGTGGTATTAAATTTCCTTAAGCACAGCATGGGAATGTGGAACACCAAACTATACCTTAGTCACACCGGGGACACTGCCATATCCAATAGTCTGAATATCCGACGTGGAATCTTTCAAGGAGACTCTCTGTCACACCTTCTGTTTTGTTTATCTTTAACCCCTCTTACACATGAACTGAACAACAGTAGCTATGGTTACAAAATAAATAAGAAAATATTCAATCACCTACTTTACATGAATGATCTCAAACTCTTTTCCAAAATCGACAATGAGTTGAAAGGCCTCCTCAGTATTGTAAAATACTTTAGTGACGACATAGGTATGGACTTCGGATTAGATAAATGTGCAAAAGTAACATTCAAGAAAGGTAGAATTACATAAACACCCTTAATAGATTTAGATTTTGTCACAAAGATTAGGGAACTGGAGCATGATGAAGCTTATAAGTACCTAGGAATTAGCGAAGGAGATGGCATACAACATCCCCAAATGAAGGAAAAAATAAGAAAAGAGTACTACAGACGTGTACGTCTGGTACTAAATACTGAGCTAAACTAAAAAAACAGAATATCAGCCATAAACACATTGGCTGTCCCTGTGGTGCAATACAGCTTTAATGTCCTTAACTGGACCATAGCTGAAATTAAGCGAATGGACGCCAAAATGAGAAAGCTTCTCACTTGATATCGCATGCATCATCCCAAGGCTGATTTTGAGCGTCTGTATGTTCCCAGATCCGAAGGAGGCAGAGGATTAGTTCAACTAGAACTGTCCTACAAAACTACAACAATTGGCCTCCAAAGATATTTGGAAACTACAGAAGACTGGATGATACTATACGTCAAGGAACATGAAAATGGTAAGCGTCTTTACTCAGTAATGAAAGAAGCCAACAAATTCAAAATGGAGTTTCAAATGGGCGTAGAGATGCAACTACAGCACAATACACCGGCTGAAACTGCAAAATACCTAAAAAAGACAGCAAAGACGAATGCAACCGACCAGATACAGAAGCGATGGCAAGATAAACCGCTTCATGGCCAATACTCTGCCCGTACCAAACAAGCTGACGTAGACAAAACCCGTACCCATAAGTGGCTACGTAGTGCAGGGTTGAAAGCATAAACTGAAGGTTTTATCTTTGCTGCGCAGGACCAATGCTTGCTAACTAGGAATTATCAAGCACATATACTAAAATATTGTGTCAGCCCAAAATGCAGATTCTGTGATAAATATCCAGAAACGATTGATCACCTTGTATCAGGTTGCACGATGTTGACACCCACTGAATATAAAACCCGACATGACAGAGTGGGCCAATATCTGCACTGGAAAATCTGCAACTTCTACGGGAAGGAAACTGAAAGAAACTGGTATGAACACCACCCAGACCCGGTTACGGAGATAGGACCTGTTACAATTCTATGGGACTACACAATACGGACTGACAGAACAATCAAGGCCAACCGCCCAGATATTGTTATTAAAGACCACAAACAAAAACGGTGCCTCCTTATTGATATGGCAGCCCCTGCTGACTGCAATGTATCTTTGAAGATATTCAAAAAGTTGTCCAAATACAAGGACCTTGAAATAGAAATCTCGAAAATGTGGCATGTGGGAACATCCACAGTCCCTGTTGTAGTTGGATCCCTAGGACTGGTTGGAAAAGATTGCAGTAGACTAATTGAAGGGATTCCTGGAAGTCCATGCCTCAAGGAGATGCAAAAAATTGTTCTGACAAGTACAGCCCACACTTTACGAAGGGCTTTATCTATGGATTTTTTTTTTTTTTTGTCAGTGGAAAGTGTCATGACGTCATTTCTAACCTTAGGTCCATGGGCGGGACACGGAAAGAAATGTGTAAACGCCAGAAATCAAAGATAATAATAATAATAATGATAGTCAATCAAGACCTTGTAGCGTTTAAATATTCAAATAGAGCCCGTCGTTGAAATAACCCTACTAGACATTACCATCGTCGAAAAACCTACAAGAAAATGCCTCCTCGTTGATGTAAATGTTTTTGGTGACCATAATATCGCGATAAAAGAAAGTGACTAGATCGAGAAATACACCAACATCTGGACTAAGTTGCCAGAACGTAGGATGTTCACGCTACTATTACCTCAATTGTCATTGGGGCGCTAGGGTCTACTAAACCGAACCAAATGTTCTTTATTGAGAAAATAGGAGTAACGCGAAGTATCCTATTGTTAAAACATGTGGGTTGCTTGGAACAGCAAATATTCTGTGAAATGCGCTGTCTCAGACTTGATGGAAAGCACTTATAAGGCAAGGTCCCCGTTCAAAAGTAAAACGTGAAAAAGAATTATATATAATAAAATATATTAATAATAACACTATTATAATACTTGTGCTTGTCCTTTCCTTTGTTAGTTCTTTAGTTCGCACTACCATTACACCTTGCCAATTCTTTATAAATAATGGGCTATTCCATTTGAATCGAGTAAAAAGAGGGTAAAATACATTACTTGTCTTCAGCGAGAAGATGGAAGAAAGGAGAAAGAAAGAACGGTTGATAAAAGTGTTTAACATCTGACAATACCTAATAAATAATGGACTATTCCGTTTTGATAAAGTGGAAGAACAAAATACCTACCCGAGACGCTACTTGGTTTCAGTGAGAAAATGGAAGAAAGAAAGCAAGAAGGGAAGATAGTAGCGCTTAATGGCTGTTTCAGTGAAATGAAAAAGTTGTCAATTTAAAATCTTTTCATTTTTACCCCCTTAATTTTTAAAATAAGGATCATTATTCATATTTATGATTGTTATAGCAATTTTTTGTTAAAGTTGTTAAGTTCAAATATTTAACAATCTGATAGGGAAATTTCTACAGAAATGTAATAGTCATAGAAGTTGCTATGAAATTATTCAATCATTAACCTAAGAATTAAAATCCATCAGGAAATTCAAATAGGAAATCTGTGAAAATTTCACGGGCCTTTCTAATAATAATAATAATAATAATAATAATAATAAAGAACAATGAAAGCCAACCACCCAGACATTGTTATTAGAGACCACAAACAAAAAAAGTGCCTCCTTATTGATATGGCAGTCCCTGCAGACTGCAATGTATCTTTGAAGATATTCAAAAAGTTGTCAAAATACAAGGACCTTGAAATAGAAATCTCAAAAATATGGCACATGGGAACATCAACAATCCCTGTTGTCGTTGAAGCCATAGGATTGATTGGAAAAGACTCTAGTAGACTAATTGAAGGGATTCCTGGAAGTCCATGCCTCAAAGAAATACAAAAAATTGTCCTCACGAGTACAGCCCACACTTTACAAAGGGCTTTATCTATGTAAAATATGTTTTTTTTTGTCAGTGGAAAGTGTCATAATGCCATTTCTAACCTTAAGTCTCTGGGCGGGACCCAGAAAGAAATGTGTACACGCCAGAAATCAAAGGAAATAAAAATAAAAATAATAATAATAAAATGTCATTTGCACACGAAAAATTCGAAATTTATTAGAAATACTTACCTCGGGGACACTCGCAGTAAAAGTTTTGGTGTAATGGATGACATGTTCCTCCATTTTGACAGACCGATCCTAAGCATACTCCACTTACTATTTAATAATAATAATAAAAAAATCATGAAGTTATACAGCAATAGAATGTTTCACTTTCGTCCGAAGTTTCAAGTTACTTCTTTTCAGCCTCAGAAATAAGAATATTATAATTTCTATTTAAAAGTGATTCTCATGAACTAAGGGTAGTGATGCCCACAATTCAGATATGAATAAAAAAAACCGTAAAGTGCTCCCAATAAACCAAAAATAACTGAAAATTCTAAACTTAATCGGGGTAAAATGGTATGATGACATTTCTAATATCTACGATAAAAACGAAACTTCTGAAATCACATAACTTTTACTAAAATGTAAAAATTATTTAGTTATTATTAGTTATTTTTGTTAATTTCCTATTGAACATAAAACAATCTAATTTTAATGTAAGAACGAATATTTTGCCAAAAAACATTTATTAGAGTATATTGTATATTATAAAGTATATAATACATACATTATACAGTATATTCCTATTGAACCGAACAAATATAGTATGAATGAATATTTTACTCGTCATATAAATTTTGTTATTGTTATACATGTTTGATTTCATGAGTAGTAATTTTTGTTCCTTTCTTTGGTGCCAAATAACACATAACACTTGGAACAATTCTTATATTCATCGCATGACTTCTGTTAGAGTATATACTTATAACATATATTTTGTTTTTAATTACAGTTGTTTCTATCTTATTGGGTCTTCGATGAGAACAAAACTTGTATTTGTCAGGTAACTGTTAATATAATGTAGTGAGGTAACGGTAAAACCCAAATATTTACACATCGTATAAGATATATTATAGTATTGTCTGATAATTTTTCCTGTTCTATTATTTTTCCATTTTTGTTTTTCCAATAAAATCGATGACAAGAATGAATACTTTACCCATCATATAACTTTTTTATAGTATTGACAGATAATATATCTGATCTATTATTATTTAATTTTGTTAATTTTCCGTAATAAAATCTATGATAAGAATGAATCTTTTACCGGTCGTATTTCTTTTATTATACGATGAATATGTTTCTGTTTTATTAATATTTATTATATATATTTGTTGTTGCCAATCTCTTATTTTTCCAAATAAAATTATTGAAATTTTGAAGATGTTAAGAATTTATATTTTATTAGGAATCAATTTTTTCATCCGTAATATACCTTTTATTAAATTTAGTACAATAATCTTTCTCTTTTATTGTTAGTAATTGTTGTTAATCTCTTATTTAGGAAAATAATATCGATGGTTAAAAATGAATATTCTATCACTCATTTAACAAAGTATATTGTTTATATTCATTTATTATAGTATATTACGATGTCTCAATTTTAATGATAATTATTATTGTTACTCTTTTATTTAGCGAAATAAACTCTGATGGGAATAAATTTTTTATCCATTATATAGCGTTAATGATATGGTGCGATCATTTTTCTGTGTTATTATTAGCTCTTATTGTTACTCTCTTATTTAGCCACATGTGATCTACGTCAAGAACCAATCATTTATCTGTCACCGCTTATTATAGTACGATGTTATTTTATTCTATTTTATTATGAGTTATCTTTAGTCTTTTCCTGAGCCAAAATAAGGTATAAATACTATAAAAATTATTGGATGTTTACGAGGATGAATGACACATTTTCTTGCTTACCTGTACAGTCGGCACTACTCGAAGATCCTGTTGTGTTTATATAGCGTGCTTCATCGCACAAATCACACATTTTAGCGCCGTTGAACTCTGCATATGAATTCTCAGGACAAGGCGTGCATGGTATAAATCCCGTCTGGGAATAAGTTCCTGGTTGACATTCCTCTGAAAAAAGAATTATCTTTTTAAACAACGAAATAAAATAATTATAATTGATTGTTTTCGTCTTGCTGTGTAGTTGTCGATATTAGGCCCGTTTAAACAGTATTATGGGCCCCTGGGCAAAAAAGTGTGCTGGGGTCCCTACGGCAACCACTCACAGGAATAAAAAGAAAATGGTCGATAATATTAAACATATATTTATTTTATTAGCATTTCAAAAAAACTGGCTTTAAAATATTAAATACATGCTGCATAGCAGCAACTAATCAACATGATAAACATTTAAACAATACACAAGGCTTGAAAAACACAATAATACTCAATAAGCCAAACAAATTAGATGTCGTAAATTACTACGAACTTCCTATTTCAGTCGCCAATTAGGACTTTTGCTTGATGTCGTAGACAGCGGACGATCCCTTTCTTGACACTGTATGGGCTTTGGCAGTTGAAGCTAAGGTATTGTCCAGTGAATGTTGACTTGCAGTATACGGATGTCTTGAACCGATGTTCTGTTCGAGATATTAATACATCCAGAAATGCTAGTTTTTGCTGTTTTCTCTCTCCATTGTGAACTGTATGAGTTCACATAGCCCAATAGTAGCTGAACTTCTTCCTGGTGTGGCCAGAGTATGATGGTGTCATCTACGTATCTCAGCCATAGAGTTAATTCTAATACAATTTTCCCGAAGGATTCCATGCATATGTTAGCTGTTGCTGGTGATAATAGCGAGCCCATCGCCAAGCCTTCATCCTGTCGATATATGTTTGATCCCATTCTTAAGTATGTTGTTTGTGTACAGAAAATCAGCATCCTTATCAGTTTATCTATTGGTATACTCATACATTCTTCTAGAGATGAGTCTGAGGCCACTATGTCCCCGACTACTGTTAGTGTCTCCGTGGGTACCCTGGTGATCAAACTTAGTACGTCATTCATCTGGACAATTTTAATGTTACACCTGGTATATGTATGCTATAAATATCATTTTATTTACACCATTTTGTTTGAGCTGTTGTTCCCTTATTTATTGCTATATTTACGACGTTTACACTTTATGGGTGGTGGGAGTAGAAGTTAAGTTATTGTCTCGTGAATGTTGACTTGCAGTATACGGATGTCTTGAACCCATGTTCTGTTCGAGATATTGATACATCCAGAAATGCTAGTTTTTTTGTTTTCTCTCTCTGTTGTGAACTGTATCAATGGACTTATTGAGTTCACATAGTCCAATAGTAGCTGAACCTCTTCCTGGTGTGGCCAGAGTATGAAGATATCATTTACATATCTCAGTCATAGAGTTGGCTTTAAATTATACATTTCCTTTTACATATCTTACAGTGCAAAATTGCGAGGTCTGGAGTATCTCCGCGTTGTCCAATGTCGTTTCACTTAGGCTTATTTTAAATCTACATTTTCATTTGATCATCAATAATTTCAAACCATTTGGGCTGTTCTTAGTGTTCCGGATCATAAACCACTTATGGACAGTATTTTCAGCTTTAACACCATATCCATAAATGGTGCATATATTTTTAGCTTTATTCCTTTCCAGAAATTAAAAAAAGCATCAATTGACGAAAAGACATCTAACTTCTGCCCATGTTCACATGTAACATACAAAGATGTAAAATACACACGATTCGTACAGAAAGTCATATTTTTAAATATGTATATGTGTAATATATTTCCGTGATGTGCAAAAAGAAATCACGTGTCTAAGTGCCACCACCTGTCACTAAGCTAAAAATATTTAAGAAACCATTACATTTATATACCATGTCTACATACTGTAATATAATTTAACGATATAGTCTCTAGAGTATACTAATTATGTTTAATATACACTAATTTACTCGGAAGAAAGTCGACAAATCTCCGTCTATCGTTGTCTCTAGTCTTCATCGGCTATCTATCTATCTATCTATCTATCTATCTATCTATCTATCTATCTATCTATCTATCTCATTCTGTTCATATCTATCTATCTATCTATCTATCTATCTATCTATCTATCTATCTATCTATCTCAGTCTGTTCATACTCATCGCATTATAGACACATTAGACTCCTCAGTATCATCAGTACGCTTTTTTGTGTCTTAATCTACAAGAAGGTCGACGAGCACCGATACAAATTCTTGTGCGACGGGCAGTACTGGTTTCAACCAGCACGATTCACTGTTGATATCATCTCTTGATCTATCTATCTATCTATCTATCTATCTATCTTGATTACCTGCCTCTACCTCTATTTTAATTACCTGCCTCTCTTTGCACGTCTATTTTTATCTGCTGCTCTTCTTTCTTTCTTTCTTTCTTTCTTTCTTTCTTTCTTTCTTTCTTTTAGTAATCGGGGGAAGGCATGTCAAAATTCTACAACCATTACGCAGTTTGGGGCATTTTCAAGAACTAAAATAATGTAAGAGCGACTCCGCCCAAATCAAATTTAATATGTACTAAAAAGAACCCAAAAAACTACTTACTTTGACAGTCTTCTATACTAGTTGCTCCGTTACCATCAGTTCTATTTCCAGCGGGGCAGCTATTGCACAGGGTCGTGTTGTAAGAATACGTTTGCTCTGGGCAAGGCATGCAAGGAATTAATCCATTCTCTGAATAGAATCCTGGTGGGCACTTACCTTTTAAAAGATGAAAAAAAAATGAAGGCAATATTTGCTCATGCACGGCATCAGAATAATACTGAGTTCTGTCAGAAAAATGCGCACTTTTAAAGAAAGACAGAGATTAAAAAACTGAGTAGGCTCGACTGTCTGGATTTGTGTGGTAAGCAATTTGAAAAAAAAAGAACTTTAAAATCCAAATTATGGAGAAGACAGTAAGTAATCATTTATATTTAGAAAAAAAGGTGTAGCGATTAACAGATGAAAAAACAAACACAGAACAAGGCAAAAGTTCTTAGACATTTGATGGCGTAGAAAGGCACATGAGTGAAATCTGGTTTGGTAATACCTTGACTGCAGTTGTTACATTGAACAGAAATATAGGCTTTAAATTTTAGAAGATTAATTCATTTTTGACGAGAGTTTCTTTCATCTTAATTTCAATTTTCATTTTGTTCTCTTACTTGAAATGCTTTTTAAATGTGCAAAACCGAAATTCGAAGACATATTGGAATAGCGAAATATGTTTTCTGAAAGCTAAGCAAATTATTAAGAAACAGGAAAACATGAGTACTGAGCTGTTATGTAATATCAGCCATCTGATATAGAAGTGAACTAATAAACTGATTTTGTTTTGTTATAGTCTATAATGTCATAGCCTATAATGTTATAGCCTATAATGTTATAGCCTATAATGTCATAGCCTATAATGTTATAGCCTATAATGTTATAGCCTATAATGTCATAGCCTATAATGTTATAGCCTATAATGCTTTTGAGTGTTATTTAAATTCTAGACATATTTTGGGTTCTAAGAATAATAATTTTTTTCTCGTGTGGATATTATATTGACCATCTTTATTCGATTTGGTTTATTTTGTTTTACGACATATCAACCTCAATGGGTTAATTATTGCCGACAAGATTTTTATTGCTGGTAATATTTTGTTTTGTCAAAAATCTGTTTCTGGTAATATTTTTCCTTCAAAATTGTATTGTTGGTAATAATTTTTTTTTCAAAAAAGTATTGCTGGTAATAGTTAACTATTTGCCCATAGCTGGGAGCCTAACAGGTGCTACCACCCTGGGTCAGGGTGGTTCCACGCTCCTCAAAACCTCATGATCAGAGGCCTTGTGAACGTAGTTTATCGTCTTACCCAGGACGTGAATGTAGTTAAACGTCTTACCCAGGACGAATAATAACAATGATTTTTCGAGATAGAACCTTATTATTTAGCCTATAGTGAGGGGTAGATGGATTCATAACTTTGTAAAAGATGTTTACGCATAAGTGAATGTAGACAACACGACTGGAAATCTAATGCTTGAAAATACTTCATCTAAAAGCATTATGAGTTTTTGGTGGAGGCACAATGAAATAATGGTTCGAATTCTGGTCGAGTTCATTACATTCACTTACGCGTTAATAACCCTGGGAAAAGTATTAATCTATCTCTTCTCTCCCCAGCTATGGGTAAAATAACATTGGGTGGCAACAAGTCTAGGAACAGGAAACTCTGACTTCAAATCACCTGCTGCGTTGTAGGTCCTGTCTCTTTAGGCAAAAGAATAAGGTAACTTATAAAAATCCACCTCTGAGAGGAGGGACGGCGTAACCTCATAGTCACTGGTACAAGCCATTGCATTCTTCTGCCCTTGAATGCCATCATGAACCGTTATGTGTAAAATGTGGCGGGGGTGGGGAGTACTGCGGTGCAAAATACAATAAAGGACTAAAAGGAATGAATTAATTTTCTGAAAATAACATGGACAAAGTAAGTGAATAATGAGGAAATTTTAAGGAAGGTGAAAAAATGACACAATTAAAAAGAAAAAAATTAAAGTTTTGTGACACAGAATGGTGAAAGAGGGCTTGGAGAATATGAAACCCACAGGACATATTGAAGGTAAGAGAAACAGCAGGCTTAGAGTATCGTCTTTAACGAGCTTATGTAACTGGATGGATAGAAGGGAGAGTAAAAAAGAAAACTTTGCTAAGAATTACAAAGGACAGGCAATTGTAGAAAGCCATGACCACCAACGTCCTAAAGGGACACGGTAGGTAAAAGAAGATTAAGTTATCCCTGTTCTCCGGCCATCTCTGGACGTCTTCTAATATATCATCCGTGGAGAAGGAGAGATAAGTACGAATTTATTGAAGTCAAAGAAGAAAAGACACCAATTGAACTTACTATAACAAGAATTGATGCTTGTGGACCCTTTCTTGTTGATATAAGTGTCTGCGGAGCAATTAGTGCATTGAAATTGATTAGTCAAGCTGTTATAAGTATTTTCTGGGCATGGTATACATTTGTTTTCCGTACTGTACGTTCCTGGTGGACAGGTCACTGTAAGAATATATGTAAATATATTAATTATTGCCACAGAATTCAATGAAAAATAACACTATTAAAAAAGAAAATACACACACCCATATGCCCAAATACACACAGACAAACAAACACAGAAATACACACATATACATATTACTTCAAAAGATACATTTAGTGTTTATTACGTCTACCGGCCTGTGCATTCAAGAAAAAAACTTAAAGAAAACATGCACTGTATCAGAAGAGAATTTGTTACGCTCCTTGTAGCTGAGAGCTCAAACAGTCTATGTAACATTCCAAACGAAACGGCAGTTTCTCTTACAAAGAGGGGGGGTCGCAGATTAGTACCATGCCGGAGAGCACATTTTCTGTATTAAGTTGAGAAAGAAAAAAAGATCAGTTGAAAGAAGAATTTCTGATGAGAATTCAAAACCTCCCTCTATGGGTTAAATAGTAGGGAAGTCTAGGCTCTGTAGCCATATGTGGCAACCAGACTAGGAAAAGAACAACACTGAGTTCAAATTCAGCCCTGTCACCCCTAAGATAATCTAATGTCATGTTTCGTTCTGGTAACTCCTGCGACGACTTTTCCTAGTCAACATCGGTGGCACGGGGAGGGAAAACGCGTGGGAGGATTTTACTCGGATGGTAATAAAATTCGAGTGTCATGTCCACAATTTACAATATAAAATTATAAACAAAGCGAAGAAATGATCTTCGTAGAAAAGGAAGAAGACCAAACTAAATATGACAATAACACTTATGCAGTATATATATATATATATATATATATATATATATATATATATATATATATATATATATATATTAGTATTCAAACGTCCTTATTATGGCCATGA